CAAAATTGCCACCTTTAAATCTGTTACTGAGTGACCAGAGAGGTTGAAGTGTTCTCCTACTGGTTTTTGAATGTTATGATTCCTGATGTCGGATTTGTGTCCATTTATTCTTTGGCGTAGAGACTGGGCTATCCTGATTATCACTACAAAAGTTTTTTTTCTCCTGCTGACAATAGCTCATCTTAATTAATTAGCCTCTTAGAGTTGGTAGGGGAACTCCCACCTTTTCCTGTTCTCTGTATGTATACATATCTCCTCACTATATGTTCCATTCTATGCATCCGATGAAGTGGGCTGTGGCCCACGAAAGCTTATGCTCAAATAAATGTGTTAGTCTCTAAGGTGCCACAAGTACTCCTGTTCTTTTTGCGGATACAGACTAACACGGCTGCTACTCTGAAACCTGGGCTCTGAGACTCACTTCCACAGGCTCCCACTCAATGTGTAGCGTACCTTGTGATGCCAGCTTTTTTGTACCCATTTTCACTGTTAAGTTTGTGCTCACCTCCTCAATTGCACCTGCAGAAATTCTATGACCTGCAACATTGATCACGTCATCAACTCGAGACATGACATATAAGTAGCCATCTTCGTCCATGTACCCAGCATCCATGGTATCATAGTATCCCTGAAAATAAAACCACAAGAAATAAATTGGTATTAAATGCTAGGGTCATCAGCAATGTTCTACCAGCAAAATGGATGAGTGACTCACTCAAAATGAAAAAAGTTACTGGCCTGTTTAATATAGTCACCTCCCACCTAAAGTTTATGTGTTAAAAATTAACAAAATATTTACCTTCATGGTGCAAAATAGGATCACATCAACTTTAAAGGTGAAAAATCTTTATAAATTCTGCAGTTCCTTCTTTTCCCAATTATTATTTTTTCATTACAAGGATTTTATTCTGGAACACTTTATTCACTGTTCTTATTTCATAATACAGCTTGGGTTCCCCTCCCCGAGTGAGCTTGGTGGGGTCAGCAGGAACAGTATATGCCCCGCAAGTCCACTCACAGCTTTTCCAGCCTGTTCACCGCTCCCTCAGAACCCCTGGAAGATGGGGCTCTCCTGAGTCCAGAGGAAGAGTGGGGGTTGTCTCTAAAGGATGGGGCAGCAAAATTGAACTCAAATTCTCATGATATTCCTGTTTCTTTTGGGAATATCTTGACCCAGAAGCATGATAGCAACACCTTGCCAGGCCACAAAATGACAACTTGTCCACACATAAATCTGTTCCCTCGGCTATTTCCACCCTTGGACCAAATCTTCCTCCTTGGTCATGCATAGGAAACACACACACACACACACACACACACTTCTGTATAGGAAAGAGATCAGCTTATGTACAATCTCTTCCATGTGTGGATCTGATGGGGAAAGTGTAATTTATTCATCTATGTACTGATTCCCTTCCCTAGTCATGCTCCCCTCCTTCATATGTTACCTCACACAGAAGACAAACTGTATATTTTAGATTTTCTTTAAAAGAGAGTGACTACATTCTAATATTCTGCACAATGAAAGGTTTAACTTTAAATGAATTTAATCTTACGTAGAGATACATATCAAAGCTCTCTCATCAAAAGAAGAAATGACAAAATCCTAACTACTAAGATCATTCAATGCCATACCATTACTGGTAGTTTATATAGTTCCTTTTGCAATTCTTACGGGAAATTTTTGGAAATATAACTCCTTGAACGTTTCCTGATTTTTCCAGAGACCCGAGAAGGCTCCAGGAGGCAAAGGCAACCTTACATTAAAAAGGAAAATAGTGCAGTAGTTAGAATAATAAGATACAAACTTAAAAACTTCAATGATGCATAGTATAATAGATAATCACAATGTGATAGAACTGCATTCATATTGCACACTCAGGTAAGCATATGAGGATTATGCAATTGGATGACAGTTCCCTTAACACCTATATTGCTTAGTGACAGATGATTCTGAAAGTTATGTATTTCATAAACTATTGTTAAATCACATTCATATAGTTCCAAACTTGAAGATACAGCTAGCTGATACATTTTATAGAACCCTAGGGCCTCCAACTTCTAGTAAAATAAAGTTTGCCCTAGTAAATGTGAAAAAAGTGCTATAAATATCTGTCATCATCATTCAGTTTAAAACATTGCCCAAGATAAAGCACCTGGCACAAATACATATAGTATCTTCTATATGGATACAGACATTTTACAATACATACAATACATACAATACATACATACATACATACGTACACACACACACACACAAGATCAGATCCTCAGTTTGTGTAAATTGACCCAGCACCACTGACTTCAACGTCATGAGGCTCTGGATCACAGTATTTTCAGGTGATTATAGTTATTTTAATTGTACAAAAATGAAGTGAAATTATGCGGATTAAACTGTAGGAATTATTGGGGGGAGGAAAATGGAAAGAGGTAAAAACCTATATTTTCAAAAATAAAATAATTTGGGTTTAATTCATAGAAGAAAACAGAAATGACAAAAGTTGAAATGCACCATGAGCTGAGTTTTCAACATGTGCTCCTTTCTGCCACTTTAGTCAGATGTGATGAAGATGAGAGAAGGAGCATTCCACATACACAATTCCTGTCAGATGGGAACAAGCTGCAAAGCTTCCTGGGCTGACAAGGAGAAACGGTGATTTTTTAAATTCCACAGAGTTGACTGTCGATAAAAAGTTCAAGGAAACTGGGTTTAACCCTATAAAATATAAATTCGGGGGGGGGGAGGGTTGAACTGGGATTCTATACAGGTTAACTCTGAAAGCAGGGTGGGGGAGAGAGAGTGCACGAGAGGGAAGAGAGAGAGTGTGCATGCATATATTAGATCAATTCAATTATGTGGCATAAAAGGTCTCCCTGGCATGAGTTTGGGATGGATGTATTACTCACAACTAATACCTCATACATGGGATCTTCACTTTCACCCTGGCAGTCACCAAACACTGACAAACGCCACTATGATTCATAACACTATCCAAAGGACAATACCTCCAGCACTGAAACATTCCCAGTAGTGTAGCAGTGTTCATACTGATAAATATAAACTGCATGTGGGATTTTAGCCCACAGGAAACGGTGTTAGCAAGTCAACCACATCTACACTACAGGCTTTACTTTTATCAGCACAAAAGGACAATTTCCTTTTTTCTATAGAAAGTATTAACAGAATAAGCCATGGCAAAATACTCTAAATCATCACTGTTCTTCCTAAGATGATGGGGGCCTCTCAGGGTCAGACTCAGCTATCCTCCACGTGATTCACTTTAAGAGGACCAGAAGGGTGTATTTGGCAACAGGATGTGGTCAGGGGGTTCAGCTGATGGGACACTTCCCAGTAAAGTGTATGAGCATCCATGGGGTATCTAGCCACTCCCCACATTGCCCATTTTGGTGGGTTTATTGGACAGCTTCAGGTGCCCAAACAGAGTGGGAGTACTAGTTGCTTTGCAAAAGAGTAACCCCATTTTTGTGGACATATTGCTTGAAGAAACCCAGGAATGGATCAAGCCATGTGTTTGGAAATGTGAGAGCTTTAAAGAAAAAATTCTTGTTCAGATTCAAGAGAAACCACGAGAGAATGGTAATTACCATGTTTGTTGCCTGGTTGCTAACTGTATAAGAATTCAAGTTTTGCACCTTTAATTTATTTGTCTGAGATGTCCTTATGATAGAGAGAAAGGATACTACACATTGACAGTCATTAATGATTTCTCCAGAGTTGCATACAAACACTCCCAATTTAGTGATTAAATAGAAGAACCCATCATATTTCTAAAATAAGAACCTCATTTTGATGTTTTGTAAATATGATTTCTGAAAATTAAAACCAGAAGAAATATGTAACATATGACATCAGGGAATCCTGATTTCTTGATTGGTCAATAGCAGTAGATCAGTACTTTAGCGACTAAACTACCTCATGCGTAGCACCAGGTCATTTGCATAAGTCTTGCTTAGAGTGCAAGAATTTCTAAAGAAATTAGTAATAATGTCAGGATTGTGTGTGGGTTTTTTGTTTGTTGCTGGAAACTGCAGGGGGCCGTGCCCGTGGACGGTCAACATCAACAAAATGTCTCGCGGCCTGCAATCAGATTACCCTGATGGGCCGCATGTTGCCCACTACTGGTGTAAAGAGTGACAGTAGCCAGGGAGACAGAAGTACTGGTAATTGCCTCTAAAAATAAATACAGAAGGCTTGTGACATTTACAGTTTACAGATACAAGGATTCTGAGTTTCCTCCAGCAGTGGAATTTTCGCTTGATTTTTCTTTGCTTATGAGAACAGACAACATTCTGTTTTGCTAATAATAATGGTTACACACATAAACATGCACATATATATATACATATTATATATAATCACAGAAAGGTCAGACTTTGTGTTAAAATATCGGTCTCCTCATCAGGCTGCCTTTGCTAATGGAAGCTGGAGGTCATTATAACAATCATTTCAAAATGAACCCTCAGTTAATTAACCTTCATGTCCCAAGATTTTAGCTCTCAGAAGAAGAAAGAGAGACAAGTTGCCTCATGCTAATTTCATAAAATCATAGAACTGGAAGGGACTTTGAAAGGTCATCTAGTCCAGTCCCCTGGACTCAAGGCAGAACTAAGTATTATCTAGACCAGAGGTGGGCAAACTGTGGCCCGCGGGACCGTACTGCCCGGTCCCTGAGCTCCTGGCCCGGGAGGCTAGCCCGCGGCCCCTCCCCCTCCCCTGCAGCCTCAGCTCATTGCGCCACGGGAACAATGCTCTGGGCAGTGAGGCTGCGATCTCCTGGGGTAGTGCAGCTTCAGAGCCCAGCCTGACCCGGTGCTCTCTGCTGCGCGGTGCGTGGCTGGCTCCAGCCGGGTGGTGCAGCTGGAGCACTGCCAGCCACCGGTGCTCCAGGCAGCACACTAAGGGGGCAGGGAGTGGGGGAGAGGGGGTTGGATAGAGGGCAGGGGAGTTCGGGGGGTGGTCAGGGGCTGGGGGTGTGGATAGGGGTGGGGGTGGTAAGAGAGCCGGGAACAGGGGGGTTGAATGGGGTCGGGGGTTCCGGGGCGGTAAGGAGAAGGGGTGCTTGGATGGAGAAGGGGTCCGGGGGGGGCAATCAGGAAGGAAAGGTGGGGTTGGATGGGGCGGTGCGGGGAAGTCAGAGGTGGGGGTTCCGGGGGCAGTCAGGGGACAGGAAGAAGGGGAGGTGGATGGGGCAGAGGTCCGGGGGGAGGCAGTCAGGAAGGAGGGGGGGTGGATGGGATGGGGGGGCAGCGGTGGGGGCAGTTAGGGGCAGGGGGTCTTGGGGAGGTCAGGGAGAAGAGATGGTTGGATGGGGCAGGGGTCCTGGGGGGGCCGTCAGGAAGGAAGAGGGGGGTTGGCTGGAGTAGCAGGGGGCAGTTAGGGGCACAGGGTCCAGGGGTGGTCAGAGGACAGAGAGCAGGAGGGGTGGATGGGGCAGGGGTCCCGGGGGGGCCATCAGGGGGCGAGAAGCAGGGCGGGGTGGTGAATGGGGGCAGGGGCCACGCCATGCCTGGCTGTTTGGGGAGGCACAGCCTCCCCTAACCGGCCCTCCATACAATATCTGAAGCCCGATGCAGGCCTCAGGCCAAAAAGTTTGCCCGCCCCTGATCTAGACCATCCCTGACAGGTGTTTGTCCAGCCTGCTCTTAAAAATCCCCAATGATGGAGAGACCACCACCTCCCTAGGCAATTTATTCCAGTGTGGCAGTTAGGAAGTTTTTCCTAATGTCCAACCTAAACCGCCCTTGCTGCAATTTAAGCCCGTTGCTTCTTGTCCTATCTTCAGAGGTTAAGAACAACAATTTTTCTCCCTCCTCCTTGTAACAAGCTTTTATGTACTTGAAAACTGTTATCATGTCCCCTCTCTGTCTTCTCTTCTCTAGACTAAACAAACTAATTTTTTCAATCTTAGGTCATGTTTTCTAGACCTTTAATCATTTTTGTTGCTCTTCTCTGGACTTTCTCCAGTTTGTCCACATCTTTGCTGAAATGTGGCATCCAGAACTGAACACAATACTCCAGTTGAGGTCTAATCAGCGCAGAGTAGAGCAGAATTACTTCTCGTGTCTTGCTTACAATACTCCTGCTAATACATCCCAGAATTATGTTTGCTTTTTTTACAACAGCGTTACACTGTTGACTCATATTTAGCTTGTGATCCACTATGACCCCCAGATCCCTTTCCGCAGTACTCCTTCCTAGGCAGTCATTTCCCATTTTGTATGTGTGCAACTGATTGTTTCTTCCTAAGTGGAGTACTTTACATGTCCTTATTGAATTTCATCCTATTTACTTCAGACCATTTCTCCAGTTTGTCCATTTCGAATTGTAATCCTATCTTCCAAAGCACATGCAACCCCTCCCAGCTTGCTATCATCCACAAATTTTATAAGTGTACTCTCTATGCCATTATCTAAATCATTGATGAAAATATTGAACAGAACCGGACCAGAACTGATCCCTGCGGGACCCCACTTGTTATGCCCTTCCAGAATGACTGTGAACCACTGATAACTACTCTCTGGGAATGATTTTCCAACCATTTATGCACCCACCTTATAGTAGCTGCATCTAGGTTGTATTTCCCTAGTTTGTTTATGAGAAGGTCATGCGAGACAGTATCAAAAGCCTTATTAAAGTCAAGATATACCACAACTACTGCTTCCCCCCATCCACAAGACTTGTTACCCTGTCAAAGAAAGCTATCAGGTTAGTTTGACACGATTTGTTCTTGAC